TGGGGTTTGGCATGGGTAGTTTTCCACCCAGCAGCAACCAACCAACCGTGCAGTGCACCTGACGTGCATTACAGTGAGGCAGGTGCCTTGCATGCACTACTTTTTTCAACCTCACTGCACCGCATGATATTACGGTACCGCCTGTTGCGGGGCAGTGGATTCTCATTGCGTCCAGGAGGTGCATTTGGGGTACCAGTCAAATTAATGACAATGCAGCTCACGTGCCGCACAGTAATGCACGGTCAGTACGTTGCGCAGTACCATGCATTAATCGGTTCGGCCCTCCACAGCCGTCCCTGTTTCCCATGTGGCTCCCCGAGAAAATTAATTGCCCACCCCTGATCTAAGCCCTTCAATTTGCAGATCTTGTGAATCCCACCTTTTAAAAGGTGCGCAACAGCAGAACCACTTTGTTTTCCACGTGGGGCGAGCCGCCTGTCCGGTCCTGAGGGGGTAATAACACATTGTGTAACCCCGGGACCTGTCTTCTTGTGATAAACAGCGAGCTCAAACTTTCCACAACCGTTTGATGTCTGTTGATTTATACAGCAGCTTGAAATCTATTGCTTGTTACTTTTTTTTATTTTTTTATTGTTGTAACTTTTTTAATTAATCCCTAATGTGGAATAAAACAAGGGGGGGGGTAAGATTCCGGGCCCGCGTCTGTTTCCAGTTACTCGCACTGTGTGAGCGGTATCTGGACATTGTCCGGCGTGTTCACATTCATCGAAGGAGTCAAGTAAGCTTTAGTCATCAGACGCTCTTCTTTGGGAGAACTTTAAGCCTCAGAGTTTTTATATGTTACTACCCAAAACTTTGCTGGAGGGGGGGTAAGAAAGGCCGTACGGCACCTCAACCACATGTTATCGCTCTGTGCCTATTAGCTGATGCTCCTGTGTTGTTATTACACCATTAAGCGAGGTCACGAGCTAGAAGATTGCTCAGCTTTACATAATAATCGCCCTCTTTGATCAGAATCAAACACACGAGCAGGCGATAGATTTGGCGCCATTAAAGCTGCATGGATTTCTTTGAAGCGGAGGTCAGCCAAAGAAGACATTCCTGGAATTAGATAATTAATGACGGTATCTGAAAATACGGAGATTGTACCTCGTTAGCCCTTGTTGGCTAATGGAAAACGTTTTAGTAACCATAAAATTCCAGATGTATTTATACGGGGGCCGGCATTGTCTTCAGGGGCTACAAAGTAGTCTTGAACAAAAAGTCTTATACGTAACAATGACATCTCCATAGAAGGGTTCTCATAGCTTTACAGGCATTTCTGCTTTGACATATCCTAGACATTTTGGTATTATATTTTTGTTACTTCTCAACTGTCTAGGATGCGTACTTGACTGTCTTCAAAGGAGTGACCTGAAAAGCATGACAAACGGAAGGATTTGGTCATCCCATATGTACCTGGGGTGTCTGACAAACTCAGAAGGGTTTTTAAAAAAACATCACATCCCCGTCTGCTTTAAACCCAGCAATGCACTGAGGCAAATACTGGTTCACCCGAAAGACCCAACGCCAAAACACAAGATGAACAAAAACAACAGCTACACCAGCGTATGGTACAGCATAGCAGAGCCAAACCCTCTGGTCGGGATTCAGCAGTGTACCTACATCTAAAGGAAAAAGGTCACTCCTTTTGAAGACAGTCAAGTACGCATCCTAGACAGGCAGGAGGACTGGTTTAAAAGAGGTGTGAAAGAGGCCATTTTTGAGAAGCCAAGCTTGAAAAGAGGTGGTGCTGGTGGTCGTGGGGGGGACACCTCTATTGTCTGCAACATACAATGCTGTTTTAACACCTCTCTCTGGGCAGGTTAATACCTCCTAGCTCCAATTATGCAAATGAAATCAACACCTGGTTGCAATTAATCCACATAACAGATTATGTGGATTGGAGCGACATTCACCATATTTATTCCCAGATAATTTTTTTGTACAAGTCATTCTGAATTGAGAAAGCTGGTCGGATGACCAGTGAAACGTATTTTTCTTCTTGTGTCCCTAGAGGAAGTCAGATCTGTGTTTGTGTGTCCTGTACATCAGTTTGGATTCTTTTCTATCATCTATAGAAGAAGCCGCGGAAGCTTTTCTCTTTGGTGGAGTTTCGGTCACCTTCATTGTTGGCACCCATGCTCATTCGTCCTCATTAATACTCTGAGAAGTAAATTCTTTCCCCGTGTCTCATGTGAAGTCTGCAGGAAGAGCCAGAAGTCATTTTTAGACATTCTTATTTCGGGGTCTGGAAAAACAGATTGTACCATTTTTATGTGGATAATTTGCTCCTTTTTATTTCATTTTCGTGAAGAAACAAAGCGCTCGTTGTGATAGAAACGTCACAGCCATTCGAGATTCGGCTCTTTCAAAATATCCCCTTGGCTTTTGATTTGGCTCTTCCAATTGTGTTCTAGACGTGTTGGGGAGTAGAAGTCAGTAAGTGCATCCTAGCAGAACGCTGGAAACGCCTCGTCGGGAGTACAATGAGAATCGCATGCATTGGAGCCATCGCTCGCCGTTACCGCTGCGTTTCAGATGCTTGTCGCTGCCAGTACTAAGTGGCTGAATTTGGTTCCCCCGTAAACTTTATTTACTTCCAGTAGCTACATTGTTGTCCTGTAAACAAGATTCAGTTTCAGTATTTTAAATGGAGGAGGATGAATTGCCCACCAGCTTAAAGCACAACATAAAATTCTTAGGGGCTACCCCCACATTGCGAGGGTTAAGTGCTCGTTTTATTTCTAGGGAGCTAAAATAACAGAGTTGTACTTCCCTGAACCACAATCCTGGCTTTCTTATAGACCGGTCTCTGCAGCCTCGCTCGCTGTAAAGTCCTGTGAGTCATCACATTGAATACAGTGGGGGAATTTATCAAAGCAATTACGACAGTTTTAGCCTCTTAGAACATTTTTTTGTATGTGCAAATCTGTCTTTCAACATGTGCCCCTGTTGCCACCGGAGCTTGCACTACTTTTCCAGCTGCACATGTTTTGCCCAAAGCTTGCACTACTTTTCCAACTGCACATGTTTTCCCTTGAGCTTGCACTACTTTTCCAACTGCACATTTTTTGCACCTGTTTTCATCTGCACTTGTGCTGGTGTTGTATGAAACTGGAGCATCACCTAAGAAAAAACAATCACAACTTAAGAAGTCCCCATGACCACTTCTTCAAGATGCGACAGTTAAAGGAGAACTATGGGGTTAAGGCTTTTCCCCATAGTTCTCCTTAGGGTAACGGGAGGACACAAACTAGCGTCCTCCCGCCACCCTAGGCTCAGTATACAGCTCGCGGTATACTAAGACGCCGCAGCTGAAGCGGATCCCGACAAATATGTCTGGATCCGCCCAGCTGCGTAACTGACAGCTGGCTCTGCCTATCTACAGGCAGAGCCAGCTGTACCCGCCCCCTCCCCTCTCCGTTCCGCCAGTGCCAGCGCCAGTGCTTTGATAAATACCTCTCCAACATGTCTAATGAAAATGACATTTATTATCAAGGCTTAGACTGCATTGATAAATAAGGTGCAAATAAACGTGGAAAATGTGTCACTTAAAGAAAAGTGGAGCAACTCCCTTAATAAATTCCCCCCAGTGTATATAACACGAGGACTCCGAAGGACATACCGTGACTGTATGAAATTCCACATTATGGCCACTCGATGGAGCTGAGGATTATAGACCATAAAAACTTATTTCCTTTCCAGTGGCCAAAATGTGAAATTTTCTTGATTCGCTCGAATGCTTTGAATAAATTACATTCAACGGGGAAAGAAAAGATACAAATAAAAATTTCAAGACTTATTTCCTATGATCCTTGGCCCCATCTAGTGGTCATAATGCAGCATATTCTTTATATTACATTCATTTTGGAATACCCCACTTAAAGTTTTTTTACTGATTGAATTATTTTAACTGTGAAAGGCTCGGCATATGGTATCTATTTTGATGTTTAGCCCTCGTTCACACATGAACGTTTTGTAGCGCGTTCTACGCGCGACGAACGCTCTACAAAACGTTCAAAAATATCAATCCCATTGTATTCAATGGTCTCGTTCCCACCTTGGCGTATTTCCACCCGTCCCTAACAAAATGGCCCACGCCTGAAAAGGTACAGGTACAGTAATACCTTGGTTTACAAGTAACTTGGTTTGAGAGCGTTTTGCAAGACAAGCAAACATTTCTGAAAAATTTTGCTTTGATATACAAGCAAATGTCTTGCAAGAAGAGCAAAATTTTGTAGAAAAGCACCACCTGAATAAGGCTGTAGCAGTGCGAGCGATGAGTCTGTTTAACGACAATGCAATGTCACATTGGATAGATTCCTTGTTAAGGTTTCACGAAATGAAAAAGATTCCATTGAGTCAAGAGATAGCAGTGATTCCGTTACTGATAGTGAAAGTCGTCCTACGCAATAATCCTCCTCTCTCTTGTCCTTCTCACACCGGCCACAAAAGGTACCTGTAATTGGTTAATTTTTCTTTATATTTTATACGTTATTATATTACAGTACAGTATTGTAATCATTTTATATGAATATTTTTGGGATGTGGAACGAATCATCTGAATTTCCATTATTTTCTATGGGGAAATTCGCTTTGATATACAAGCGCTTTGGATTACAAGCATGCTTCCGGAACGAATTATGCCCTTAAACCAAGGTATTACTGTACTACTTTGGGCCGGTTTGTTGCGCGTTTCCATTGGGATACAGCCAAGTAGCCTTCGGAAACGCGCGTCTGTTGCGCAACTTTTTTACCGTGAATCGCGGTAAAAAAACGCGCGACGGTCGCGCATATGCAATACGCCTAGGTGTGAACGAGACCTTAATGTGGAGAGTAGATAAATAGGCTCAGCGTTGGACCATTAGCAGTATAGTCAGTACCTGAGTAACACATACTGATATGGTGTCTGTAGTCTTGCTTGGACACGCTCTGTTACACGTTTTCAGTCACAGCCAATGCCGAGTAATAAAACATTTTTGTGTATTTTTTCGCAGGACTCGTCATCGCTCTGAGTTTGCGTGGGATATTAGAAGTCATCAATGATGTCAGGCGAGGAATTGACGGAAGTGGTTCAGATAACAGTTGATGATTTACATGTCAACCACCCCGGTGAGTTCATTTCCGAATAGGTGGTATAACTTGCTTGGAATGAATAGCATTATACATTGTATTTGGTAGGCAGGCGCTGTGTCTCGCGAGCAGTTGCCATTTTTATCAATAAAATCCTAGTTTTGACCTTTTTTTATTTGCATCCCAGTGCTGCTGATCTCCTGCAGCCACTTCCTGTCTACATGATATCTCAGGGCTGGCTTCTCTGCAGAATTCTCTTCCCTGTGAGTCCAGGGCGGAGCTATGACACCCTGGGCTCACAAGAAGTAGGTTGACTTATACTGGGCGTCATTTAGCTTATAGGAGGGGCAGCCCTGGGTCGGTGAATGGAGGAGTCTCCGGGGGAACAGTGCTAGAGACAGAGTGAATATTGCTGCCAGAGTTCGGGGACTGGAATTTTGGAAACTTTAAAATCAGGAGTTGTTGTGCATTGGATTAGGTCGGAGATAGACAAATGCTTATAGAATTCAAGAGCCAGTCAGTCCAATCCAGGAGCCAGCTCTGCTGACAACAACTAGAGAAAGCTGTAATTTTTAAGGTGCATTGGCGACCTGGCTCCTGGGATTTGTCCAGCTCTGGGTTAAACTGTTGGCATCATCGACTTATATTATTTTAAAAAGAACTGAAGAAGAAGTTAAACATTTTATTGAGCCTTCCAGTGGGGCTACCCCCGCACTGCAAGGGTTAAGTGTTAGTTTGTGCCTAGGGTAAAAAAGAACAAAGTTATATTGACCCGATTCTCCACCCTGGCCGGCTGCGACAGCACTCCCTCCAACCTCTCACCTCCTCTCCAGTGATGATATGTCCCTGGGCATCCTCATGTCCTATACCCCGTGTATAGCTTGAAGATTCAGGGACCTTGGACTGGTGCAGGGAAGGGGGAAGAGAGCCTCCAGGGACCGGTCTAAGAGCCGGCTGGCTCCGAGGATCGGGTCAGTATAACTTTTTTTTATTTTTGACCCTAGGCAAAAACAAGCACTTAACCCTTGCAGTGCTGGGGTAGCTCCACTGCAAGGGTTAATAACATTTTTATAGGCAAAAACAAGCACTTAACCCTTGCAGTGCTGGGGTAGCTCCACTGCAAGGGTTAATAACATTTTTATAGGCAAAAACAAGCACTTAACCCTTGCAGTGCTGGGGTAGCTCCACTGCAAGGGTTAATAACATTTTTAACTGGAGTTCTTCTTTAAAAAGCCGTTGGCTAACAATGCCACAGGATGATCTCTTCATCTCCATTGAACGTGGGTCTCATCAGCATCTGAATTGTTCTGTATAATTGTAATGACCATTTTGGAGGCACTTCCATGCGGCCTCAATTGCAGTGTTTCTTTAATGTTCATTTAGCGCTTTGTTTATGAACGGGCCTCTTGAGCTTTTCGTATTTAAAGCTAAGACGCAGCTGGTCACGCTCCCGTCGGCTGATTTTTATTGGGCAGTAAAACGTTGTACAGATTGCCCGGCGTTTATTAGCCGTCCTTTCGTCTTTCTTCATTTGCAGTTTATTTGGCAGTTAATTAGACTTTCGCCGGCCTCGGCTGCAGATAGCTCCCCGTTCCCTCTGCCGCCATATCTATGCTTGTCTCGTTCCTCGCCTGCTTTTAAGATGTCTTAAAGATTTGTGATGTAGGTGCTTATCTCTCGCTTTCTCCAGCAGTCGTTTCAATTCCATTTTAAAAATACACATTATCTACTTGTGCAGCTGTGACTGGGAAATAGCGCGGTGGGGAGGAGAGGTTGTTGTCGCAAAGCGGCATAATCGCTCCTTATGGCGCGCCGAGCCGACCTTGTTTTCTTGTTTGCTGAAGAGATTGTAATTGGCATCTTTAGATTGCCATCATGTTAATATACCCCTTGGCCTGCTCTTACCTGCTTTCTGTGCTGCTCCCC